GAGAGAGAGAGAGAGAGAGAGAGAGAGAGAGAGAGAGAGAGAGAGAGAGAGAGAGAGAGAGAGAGAGAGAGAGAGAGAGAGGGAGTGTGTGTGTTTTCCGGGTTGCATATTACTGCAGCAGGGGTGGACACAAAACAAACAATTATATACATTCTAGACGATGTCATTCATGATGATGAAGTGATACATTCCAACAAGCGAATCACTGGGAAGAAAGGAGAAGTTCCTTCCTCGGACCCACTTGAAACTTGGCGATAAAGAAACCAATGGTGTCGAGGGGACCACTTGGGTCAAAGCGCTGAACGAGACTCTCTTCACCCACCCTGAGCAATTCTTGGGAACGGATCCCATCACAGTCAATTTGTCCGACAAGTCCAGGACCTCCCAGCCTGGGTTCCTCAGGAAGCAGGGACAAGAACGGGTACTTGTCGAGAGCGTATCTGACAATTGCTTCGTTTTCCATCGGATTGATGGTGCATGTGGAGTAAACTATCACGCCGTTTGGTTTGACGAGGGCAACCGCTTGGTCCATAAACTTTTTCTGGTATAAAGAGTGTTTGCACAGAGTTTCCATGGTCGCGTCTGCTGCAAAAAGGCGAGGCCGAAGCCCAAGCGCAGAGCATGGGGGATCTAAGAGGATCCTATCAAAACTCGAGGGCGGGAAACCCTTGACCTGTCGTCCCTTGTCCTTCTGCAGCACAGAGTTATTCTTTCCTGGTCCATTTTTCCCTTTCCCAGGATCGTCACGCCTCAGTCTTCCCTTCTTTTCACCATTCTGAAGATTTGTAGCCCCCTTGAGAGAATCTTTCGTTTTGTATTCCTCCCCTTCTGCCCTCTCCAACGTCTTGACCATATCAAGCTTAATGCTGCAAGGATTACCCTCTCCTTTTACCCAATGACATTCTATAGAGGATGACGAAGAGCACGTGGTAGAGGGAGGCAATATGGATGAGCATGTAGGTACGGATCGTATTGCGTCACTCTTGTGATCAGGCTTTCTGTCTTGCTTGATGCAAACATCATCTGAACAGGTTGAGGAGAAAGAGAAGCATGCGGACGAAGAGGACGAAGAGGAGGAAGAGGAGGAAGAGGAGTACGACAAGGAGGAGGAGGAGGAGGAGGAGGATGTTAATATAGCATGATTGATTGTAGCAGGTGCATGTTTCATATGAAGGTCCGCTGCATCCAAGGGGAGGAACTCTGAGAACACACTGCGGCTTGAGGTAGATAAGGTGGTGCAACCGCATGCAGAGGAGCAGTTACAGCGGGTTGTGCCATTCAATGATGAAGACGATGATACAAGAGTCATGGTAGAAGAGGCGGTTACACTCCCAAGGGAGGAGGCACTTGATGAGCTGGAAGTGTGAGGGAGGTGGAGACAAGATCTGCTGGAGTCCATGGCAAAGGCACGGATTATTGTGATCCCCATCTCTTTTGCGAGCCGTTGGATGTCCTGGACCTTGTTCTGAGATCGGTCCAGGGCAATCACATCTCCCTCATTTTGCATCATGACTGCAATGGCTGTAGTCTTGCCACCTGGCGCTGCACACATGTCCAGTACCCGCTCCCCGGGCTGTGCACCCAAGACATGGGCAGCAATCACAGAGGGCAGGTTCTGAGGGAAAAGGATTCCGGGCATCAATCCTTGCAGCGGCGGGATATTGAAGACACGTTCAGTCATCTCCACGGCAACTCCTCGCGACTCTCGAAACATACTGACCCTGCTCATCATCGCCCTTCCAATTCCGATGAACCAATCCTTACGTAAGTCTGCAGATAGACCGCTAGAGTTCTCATGGTCCGAGCCAACAGTCATGCCACGGGTGACACCCGCAATCCATCTGCCATCATCTTGCTGATGTTCCACAGCCGCAGAGACGGCTACGAGATCACCCGCTTCTATATGGCGGCTGCAACCCATCACACCTGGCACAAACACATTGGCACCGCGCATCACAGCCTCGGCACATTTGCGGCTCACGACAACCTCTGGAAGTAGCCCCTCGTCTCCTTTCTTCTCCACTTGACAGTCACTCTGCTCATTCTTCGAGTAATCAATAACATGAGGGCCGGATCCACGGAGGACGATAACATTCCGTACGACAGGATGGGTAAAACAATGCAGAGGAGGAGCGCTCTCCCCATTTCTCCTCTTAAGAACGCACGCAGCCATGGCGTTTTTGCTAACACCAGTACCATTTCCCTGACAAGGCGTGGACTGATAAACTCTTTCTCCTTTCAGGTCACTCTGCAGCAGCGGCAACGGAGTTTGCATCTCAGTGCGACAACTGTGATTGCTGCTCGGAGCCTTTGATAACATAAAAGCAGAAACAGAGGCAACTTCATTGCCCGTCAAAGTTCTGACTGACAGCTCAGGCCCCATCCTGATCGCAGGCAGTTCTTTTCCGCACCCGTTTTCAGATATCCCAGGGTCCTTGAGATCTCTGTCACAGTAGCTCACAAAAATTATGTCAGGGTCTGACCTAGAAGGAGCGGGAGCTATTGACGGATTCTGACAGTCCTTGAGATCGCGGATCGAAGAGGTCTCTGTCACAGTAGTTCCCACTTCTTTCAGGTCAGGCGCTGACAGATTGGACGCAAGCCCATTTTCAAACCCCGTGTGAATGTTTGCAACGTCAAGAACAGACGGCGAACGAGCTCCTCCTTCCACGTCAGCCTCGGACAGATCGGCTCTTTGCGATAATATACAGCTAGATGTAAGAAGGCCACGTAATTCCCTCTCATCTCCAGACTGGCTCAGGCCCTGGTTGGACATTCTGCAAGGGCGAAGCGCCAGTTTTGCACACATCTCTGACAATGCTTCGTCTGCTGTCATCGACAAGGTGTTGACGCGTGCTGTCGAATCGAGAGGCGGTCTGCACAATGCCTGCGAGATGAGTTTCATCTTCTCGCTGCCAAGAACACTGCACAGGTACTCGAACACATCTGCGTCCCAGCGAATGACTGGACGGAATGCTCTTGCTGATCGTGCCAGATAAGAATCCTCGGTCGTAATGCCATCATCTGCTGCTTGAACATGAACAACCTTCTGAATCCTAGTCGGGCCCGAGACATTCACCTTCTTTTGCACAGCTTGCCCCTGATCTCTCCTCCTGCTTGCCGGCTGTTCCACTGGGACAGCTGACATCTGGAGTCGCATCTCTTTGCCAACCCCTGTTTCTTCCATGGCTGACTCCATCACTACCACTGCCCTGAGTTCCGGGTCGACAGCAATAGCAGTGTGTGCCGCACTGTTACGCTTAGTTCCCAGTTCCTTTTGACCAGCACCTGGCTCTGCACGCAGCTCCATCCTCACCATCAGCGCTGTGCTCGCCTGCCCTGGCCAGCCACTGCTGCACAAATCCTGTCATCGCCACATTGGCCACACCACAGGTCGCCAACCTGTCACCACCTGGATCATGCCACCCCATTGGCGAAATCAGCCTCAGCTCCCGTTGTCCTATTTCCACATCCTAATGCCAACCATGTCACATCATTGCAAAAAAAAACGCTCCTCACACATTCTGCATACACCTTCACATTGCTGCACACAGGCAGCAATCAGGAGGCATGATTGAACACAAAACATCTTGGCAAGTTGCAGACCAGATTAAGACATATGAACTGTAATTAACATTTTCCCATATGGTGTTACGTCATTGCAAAACACCCCGCTCCTCACACATTCTGCATACACCTTCACATTGCTGCAAACAGCCAGCAGGAGGCATGATTGAACATGAAGCATCATGGCAAGTTGCAGACCAGATTAAGACATTTGAACTGCAATTAACATATCCACATACGGTGTCACGTCATGGCAAAAACAAACGCTCCTCGCACATTCTGCATACACCTTCACATTGCTGCACACAGGCAGCAGGAGGCATGATTGAACATGAAACATCGTGGCAAGTTGCAGACCAGATTAAGACATATGAACTGTAATTACTAATTAACATATTCCCATATGCTTCTTCTTAAACCACCACCCGTACTTCGCCAAGGCAAACTTGACAATCGAAATCCAGCCAATCCGAACATGTCAGAGGCTTGAGGCTACTGGACCAAACTGGCCGGTGGCAGCAGCCAAAAGGGGGAAAAACCAAGGCTGAACTTCCGGTCCCACCGGGGCCCCCTTCCCCCACCAGAACCGGTACGGTAGTACCGGCCGGTGGACCATGCCGGTTCCCCCCCGGTGGCATTTTGCGCAAGTGGATCACGGGGGGGGTTGAATTTTTTTTGGGGCCGGGAGGCCTCCATGCGGGTCGTGGAGGCCTCCCGGCCCCAAAAAAAATAAAACCGGGCCCGGTAGGCCCACCAGAAAGCTCAAAAACTGGCGGCCTATCTGGGCCGTCGATCTCGTGAGATCTGCGGCCCAGATAGGCCGCAGTTTTTGAACATTCGGGCGGGAAACCMCCCGAAGTTCGACTTGCCGAACTGCCGCCAACGATCGGCCCCGCCACCCCGTCTCCAGCCTCCAGCCTCCAACCCGTCACTTCGACACTTCGTCGAAAGTGAACGAGGTTGCGACTGCGTTGCACCCCTCCCACGTCCACCCCAGCCTCGGATCACCATCGCCCCGCCCCGTCGTCCACCGTTGAAGGTAAGTGACCCAAACTTTCACTTTCCTCTTTCTTCTTCTTCTTCTTCTTCTTCTTCTTCTTCTTCTTCTTCTTCTTCTT